TACAGTTGGAGGCCACATGTTTTTCATTTAGAGTTAGGTCTCACATTTTATACTCCTAAATTCCAGTAGTTGAAATTCAGAGTCAAAAGAAGAAGAAAAAATAACCAGGCACTTCTTTTGTCTAAAGTTCTCCAAATTCCTCTTAGGAAATGTCGGCCTTTCTTATTTCTGCTGTGTTCTAAGAGAACAGATGATCTGTATGTAGCATTAAACATGTCTTCCTGTCATTAAGCTGTGGCAGCTTATGATAAACTATAGCGTACTTCACATTACTGTTTCTCCTCAAGCTGTGTCTGTTTTCCTTATCTGTTTTGCATCAACTTAAAAGGTCAGTAACTGTTACTGAGTTTCAGTGCTGAATGCAGTACTGTATTTGTATTTCCCACTCTCTATTAATTTAACATGTTTATTACTGATTGTAGCAGTATGGTCGTGTAGTGCTGAATTAGACATTTAGGCTGCAAGAATAATTAGTGGAAAAAAACTTAGTCGAGTAGAGAAATATTGCTGAGCTGATCTCTAGATTTTATTTTACTGTTACACAATCGGTACATCACATCATTAAGATTCTTGGTTCACAGAATTCATTTTTACTTGTGATTTGGGATTTAGTTTTTATAGAACTTGAAGCAGAGCTTTTTAAAATTTCAAAGGGCCATTTCTAAAGTCTGTTCACAATATGCAATGCATGAGGCAGGACTTTTCACTTGGTTTCTCTCATTGGTATTTCACACACTGTTTACGTCAAGGCTCATATTCCAAAAAAGACTATTTTACTGCTTTATTACGTTTTACTATTTTTATTATACTTTCCATATGTTATAAGTGTCTTGATAGTTATTAATGCTTTTAAAATAAGTCACAATTTATTCTTCTTCTGAAATAGTATTGCATAACGCTCAGATGTTTTGCCATTCCCATTTCTGCTTTTAATCTCATTTTACGTACCAGTTGTCTTACAGTTGTGATTAGAGTCTGCGTAACATTTTGGTAGATGCTAGTGTATATTCGGCTGAGCAGTTATCAGGCTTTTCCAGACTTTCAGACACAGGAGTACAGAAGTTACAAGAGAAGTACATGATGTGGTAAAGAGTCCCCTCAAGAGCACAGCAAGATGGTAGTCAGTTATTGAAGTATATTTGTTTGAAGCTTATCAGCCTTTGAAAAGTAAACCCTTTATATCTGTGTTTATGCAACTGTAAAAAAAAGGTGATAAGCTAGGTGGCTACATATCTTTTGCCGATATGTAACAGGTTTTGAACAAACTCACACTGATTGTGCACCTAAATTTAATATTTTGAGTATATTTTTGTAATTGGACCTCGATTAAAGTTTTAACTGGGAGATTAAGTTAGTCTTGCAGATGCTATATGTCCATTGTTCATCACTGACATACTGATATTATTTTATTTTGCCTTCTTCTATATGAACATTAATTACTTTACTGTTTAATATTATGAGATTTAACAAAGGAGTCTCCAGGCAACATTTGTTTGCCTCAGTAAATTGGTGCTATATTCTCCACACACCACAAGCAGTATAATAATCAGATTAAAACTGCTCAAACTGTGAGTCATATTACATTCACTCATTGCAGTATTAACACCTTCATTGAAGAAGTAGAAGGCTTGATATCTGTTGTGTGTTCGCACTTTTTAAAAATAGTTTTTTAATTTGTGGTCCAGTGATTCACTCTATACAATGCTGTAAACATCACTTTTTTATGTAAAACATGGAGAAAGCTAAAGTAGTTTATTTGAAATGTCCTGTTTGGAACATAGAGGACACAGCAAGTTTCAGCAGATGGTAAATTTACCCATGATCAGTCTCTTTACCAGTCAGTACTTAGAAAAACATCCTGGAAACTAGGACAGCCTATAATATAGATTTTGGCCTCTGGGGAAAAGCAAATGGCACTTCTTATGCTTTTGCCAGCCGGTATATAGATTATTGGTTCCTCCTGTATGTATTAAGGTCAACATCTCACCATATTACTTTCTTGGCAATCAAAGAGAATGATAAAGAAGACTGCTGTATGTCTGGTTCCAGCAATGGGAGTCTGGAGCAAGCTACTGTACCTTGTCATGTGGTTTAGGTCAATACCCTGGTTTCTTTCAAGAAACAGCTGCATGAGATCAATTAGTTACTGGCTATCAAATAAACCACATGGGCTGACAGGCCTTGTCTTCTTTGTAACCATTCTGTTTTTCATGTTTTTATGTTCAACTCTTTTAAAACACTGTTTTGAAACTCATTCTTTTGAGGCTGGAAGATTTCTTAAAGTTTGGACTTGAATGATTTAAAACACAGTGCTATATGGCTTCATAGTGCTGTTCAATTTAGATATTTATAATGAAATGTACTGTACATCTTATGGTAACTAGTTTATGTACCATAAAATAGTTGATTCTTCTGTATTACTGTTTTCAATTAGTGTATGATGCTTTTAATGTTCAATCTAAGTATACACATGAAGATTTAAATTTTATAGGGTTTCCTATTTTGCCCAATTCCCCATGTAAACAAGTGTTTTTTTCTAGAGCGAAAGCTTGTGAAAATTGGCAAAAACATGAGATTTATTGAAGAACAATATTCCCAGTAATAATAACATTTTTGCAAGGTGCAACATCTCAAATTCATGTGGATCTCCAAGTGGACAATGAATACATATGACTGTTACAATAAACACACATATTGCATCATATTAAAAATATTTTTTACTTTTTTAGTCAAAATGGGAATTCCAGCAGTAAATGACAATTATATAAAATATTAATACTGTATTACAAACTGTATAATGCATTCAAATTTATAATCATTTGCAAACAATCTGCCGGTAGCAAATATTACAATATAATATTGTGCGTCAAAGAAGGTACAGATAACTTGATGACAAATAAGGACAACACTTAATAATGCATTCATTAATTCTGACTGGGTGTGATGCTGTGGCAGTCTAGAGGAAATACATTTCAGCCATACCAAGCAAAAAATAGTGAAGATAAGAAATCAGGGCAGTACAAATAGACAGATGGTATGATGACAGAAGGCAGCCTCGTGGTGACAATTGAGTAAGTACTTATTTAATAATACTCACTTTAGTGATCATCATAACTACAGTATATAGTAGTAACAATTATAATGCTGATCATTTTTGCATAAACATACTAGGTTTCATCCAAAATGATCATACATACAAAGGACTATACATACAGGAGTTAAAGCAAACCTTCATTGGTACCATACCATAACATTGGTACCGATACTAATATGTTGCCTTTTTAAAATGCCTTAGTATTTAGTTTCAGTCCCGTAAAGAAGATGCAGTTCTCCAGCCATATTCATCTTTTGTAGAAGGAAATTTAAGGATCACAATATTCTTATTTCCATCGTTCCAGCACTGTTTCTGGTGATTCTTGTCCTTGATGTAACTTACAAAAGAGAAGCAGGGGGACATTATCATAGCTGACTTTAGGCAGAACTTTTTTTGCAGTATGTCCAGACGGTGGCACTGCATTGCTACTGTGGTGTTTAAAACTAAAGCCCAAGGGGGGATTTATTAGTTCAGTTAGTTTAAGAATTTGCTGTAAAATGATTGCTTACATTTTCCATTTTTGTCTGATACAATTTAATGTTTTTTTTTTCCATTGACAGTCTACTGTTTTAAATTTAGCATTGTTTTGTATATATGTGGGTCTACTAATACAAGACTGCTCATACACATCTGTGTATACTGTATATTATGTAGTTTATTTCTATAGAGTTAAATACATATATAGACATATATTGTGTGTGTATTTAATATGTGGCTAATACAATTTGAAATTGACTCTTGACTTAGCTATCAAGCCTTTTTCATCTTAGTAAACTTAATCAGGGGATGATCCTCAGTGACAGCTCTTTACATTAAGTTAATTATCTAGATTGTCTGTTTTTTGTTGTTTTGTTGTTTGTTTTTTTTCTTGAAAATTGCAACAATCACAACATAATACAACATTCTTTGGAGATCACAACAATTTGGTAATGACACTCCGTTTAAACCAGATCATGCATCTATTCAAAACCTGCTTGAATTATTTTACAGTGTAATATTCTTCCACATTTCCATTTATTAATTGATTTTTCTCTAAATGGTGATGTATCATAGTATTGTAATAAATAATAAAAAGCCACTTATAAGCACCTTATGTAGGCTAAAGAGTCTGGTTAAGAACTGTTTACTTTCGATGGAAAATTCCAGGCAAGCATCCATTAATTTTCAGGCATTGTAGCCTGTTGTGTGTCAAGCAGTAATAGAATAGAGGAGCTCTAAACTTTGGGATGCAGATGAAAAGTTTAATGTAGTGAAAGGGCTGTAGTGTTGAAAAGGGAAATTTACATCAGAGGTTTTCACTGAGGAAGAAGAAGCCCCTTCTTTTTAAATGTATGTTTACACAGATAATTGAGGTTTTTTTTACACGAAAATAAAACACTGCAAGACAAATATCAAATGTAATGTTAAGATTGCAATCACTGGTAAAGCACATTAATCTGTTAGTAATGATAGCAGCACCCTGCCTTTCAGTTGTGTGTTTGGGAAGTGTTTGAATTTCTAAATAAATGTCGAGCAGATTCATGAGAATTACAATCACCTACTTAACTGGAAAACGTCAAAACATGAAAAATATTTACCATGAATCTTTGCTAGTTCTTCTGCTGTAGCACTCTGGAATGAATGAAAATGTCACTGCTGCACCTCAAGAATGTATTTTGAAACCATCTACTAATAATTGAAGGGTGGGACATTGTCAGGCTGCATTTGAAAAAATCTAACCAGGAAAAATAAAACTTACTTTTAGATACAGTACTTTATGGTATATCCTGTTTTAGAATGTGTTTATCCGACATTTTCTGACATTATGATTCCATCTGCTAAAACTCCACTGTGTGCTGTATGTAGGTTCTGAAATATGTAAGGTATGCTTAATAATTTTTTCTGACTTTTTTTCTTTTTTTTCCAGAAAACTAACAGGTCATTCCTTTCACATGGGCTACAGCATGGCGATACTAAATGGAATTGTGGCAGCGTTGACGGTAATATGGTGTCTGATATGATGCCATCATCAGGAAAAGCTGTTTTTAAACTTAAAGGATTTCTTTTTGAAGACTAATTTATATTCTCTGAAAGTCTAGAACAGCCCCGTCTCCAACCCAAGTCATAGAGAATTTCAGTATTTTTAGTTTTATTGGAATTATCAACCAATTTGTTTGATATCACATTAATATTCACTGCTTAAACCAAGAAATTCTGAATGTTCTGAAAAACAGAAAGCCACATGATGGTGTCGCTGTCATGGATTAAGGCTGGAGATCCCCTGTGTTTTTTAACTCTCTTTTTTACTGTGCTAGTGTCTGATTTTGTACTCTTATTTGTAATGCAAACAAAGCTAATAGTACAATTTTTTATTTATATTTTTAAATTTGGAATCACACATTTTCTTTTAACAACTACAGTAATTTGCCAATAATTGATCTGTACCACAACTGAGAGAAAAAGCGCTCTGAATTCTAAATTCCGGCATGTCTTTTGGGATGCTCACTATTCACACACAGTTCAGGCTCCATACTGCCTTACCGGAGCTGAAAAGTGATTGGGGAAGTAATGTCTCCTGTCAATGACACTGCAAGTTCACCACTGCCTGACATGTTACAGGGGCGGCTGTAACATGGCAAGCCCAACCCTAATGGGACTTTGCCAGCTGTATACCACTACTTGGTAATTCTTTTCACATTTATCTAGTTCCATTGCTTATTTCCTGGTTTCCCACTAACAGGCTATTTAAATTTTCAGTGCTTTTCGTGCGCATGAAAATCCAACACTGATGCAGCTATTACATTTAAATGCACTGACTGCCATTTTTGTAAATTATATTTATGTCTTCTTTTGAATTGCTTAGCATAGTAAACCAGGAAATAATATTTTTTTCTACATAAACAAATATTTGAATTGGATGTACAAAGTAATTGTAAGCTATAGGGTTCTTAAAAATCACTATTATGATTTTATTAACTAATATCTCGCTTAGAAACACTGAAGCTTAAACACTTTATTATGTGTAAAACATTTGGGGTTTTTTTCTTCAAGGTGTTCCTTCACTATAAAAAGTAATTCTGTTTCACTGGGTGCATTCACATTACCCTTCAGATTATAAAGTCTTTAAAATAACTTGGATCTTTACAGCAAATAAGGTGTGTATAGCAAATTCACTTTCTGAAGCATACTAAAATATATGAAAAAATATATAAAAAATATATGATTTTAGAATTAAGAAAATGTTGCAATCTTGTTTTCATTGATTTCGTGCTTTTATTTTTTTTCTTGAAATAATTGGACATCTGTAATCTAAGCTACAGAAAATGGTGATCTGTGTATAGACGCTTTTAGTTTTTAGATAAGGTTAATGGGAAGGAAAAGATAAGTATCCTTTTTTTCTGTCCGTTTAAATTTCAATTGGTTTTTCATGGGGAGTACAAAACATTTCTTTGATTTTTTTTATTATAAACACAACTGCAAAATTCTGACAAATAAGTTTATATTAATATCTTTATGGAACAACTAAACTAAAAAGTAGATGTTTATGGAGTTCGTTTATGTTTATGGAGTCGTCAAGTTCAATACAAGGCAACATGGGTTTATAATTTGGTGAATTGTTAATATCTGCTGTTTTTTGTTGCATATTATTGTTCAATGGGTATTTTATATTAAAGGGTTTTTAATGCCATACTGTGTATAAACTGTTTGAATATTACTGTACATTTTGACTAATAAAATGTTTTCCAAGTTTCCAAAGTCTACATTTCATCACTATTTCTGAAGTTGTTCATAAATTACATTTTTTGTACAAAATATACCCTTTGTAGAACACATGACTGGCATATAGGGGTGGAAACTTGGAGTCAGAGCTCCTACTGCCTGCAGCCCTCTCTATACATTTTAGTTGCAATAGGTGGAAGTGAGCTCTCAGATATCTGTTGTTTAGCAACTGATCTAGAAGACTGACATTTCAAGTGAACCAAGGCAAACAGAAAAAGTTCTGTGATACACAGTGAAAATGGAAGGTTTGGAAGGCAACATGGTGAAGCAGGAATACCATATCCGTCATAACAGCTTCCAAATACTGTACATATTGCACCTCTTGTCAGAGGAAACTAAGTGGGACCAAAAAATCAATCACTGTATAGTTTTCAGGTTTGACAAAACTAGGATTTGGAAAGCACACACCCAATCTACTCAACAGCACTTCTGGAGGTTGCAACAAGCCTTGTGTGTATTTATGCAAACTATCACTACAAAATACAAATAAAATTGGAAATGAAGGGCATTTTGATGAACAGAAGCTTAGCAGTGGCAAAAACATGCATTCACCTTTTGTAGTAATTGGTGTTTAATGAATATTGCATGCAGAGACCCTGCATTGTTCTATACATTTTATTTTGTATTTGTGCTATTTGCAATCACAAGGAAACTGTCAACAGAGTATAATTAGCATATCTTTTGGGATAAAGCAGCAGGAAGGAAACATGGCTAGCATTATTTTTTTATGGATCACCTATTCCCATCACACAAAACAAGAGTATTCTGTGGACCACAGTTTGGGAAGTAAATAATCCAAAAATTGAGACATCACAAAAGCAAAAAAAACTACAATGCTTCCCAAAATTATTTTCCTTGGATTCAAAGTGTTGGTATCAGCTAAGGCAGGTTTGTCAAAGTATGCCTAAGAAGGAACATATTTAATTTAAACACAAAAAGGTTTGAAAAAACACTAATGTACCTACAGTATATTTTGCACAATCAGAGCTAGGATTTGATCCACCATCTCCACTGTCCAAACAACTGTCAAAAAAGAAGAACTAGCAGAACATTTTGGTGTTGTGAATTTCTTCAGGTATGTCGAGGTAACAAAGGCAGGAATATCGGGATAAGGAGAACAAAAGAAAGTGTGAGAATGAGTAAGGGGGAGACTGGGAAAGGGGATCCATAGAGATGAAAATCTGGAAGACATATTCATTTGCAAGGTAGATTGAAATCTGGAAATTAACTGATTTTAAAAGAACTCAATTCCTGAAAGCTGGACAAGGGGGAATTGTGGTTTTATCCATTGTTGCTATTCTTTTTCAGGTATCATTTAACAGGTGTTTTGTGATATTTTGTTGGATATTTTTGTATATGCTGTTTTTGTATATAATGTTTCAGTAGTCTAAGGCTTTTGTGGATTTGTCCTAAAACATATCTTTCAATAATTTTGTAAATACTTATTTGTATACATAATCATATCTCTTACCATTGTCAAGGACACCAACTGTGCCAAAATCCTGCTATAGCAATATAGCAAGTGGAAGGTCCTTTAGAATCAAAGGTTTATCTAGTACAGTGATGTAATCAAAACAATGTTGTTCCCAGAATTTCATACATAAAAATAAACCTTTATTTTTATAAAATGTGAAACATTTCTGAAGAACAAAATTAAAGTATTAATCTATACAGTGATAGACAGCCTTCTAGGTCAGAATTAGCTTACTAGATTTATAATAATCTTTGTTCTCTAGAGTTCTGTAAATGTATATGTTAGGCAAAAAACTAAAGCAAATATAATTCAATCTAATAACAAGAACTTGTTTCTGAATACATTTTTTTTTGTTTGCAGCATGTATCCAAACAATGTTTTACTTTTATTGCTATTTATAAGAGGCGGTTGACAATCTCTGTTTATATCTATAGCATACATATTATGAATAACTGTATTCGTAAATGTGAAAGTTTGGTCTACTCTTGAGACTATGAGACTGTGCTCACTCCAAACCAAAATAGTGCTGATGAAACTAACTGAATGGATACTCATGAATATTCAGAAATAGCACAGTTTGTTTATGCAGGTTTATTCTTGATGGAATAGAGATTGGTGAAGGACTGAAAAGCTAATCTGGCAAATCTCCAGCATTGCTTTCTTAATGAAGTTGAAATGACAAGAAACAATGTAATTATTTACCTGAAAGAGTAGTCTCAAAGGTTTTGAGGGGTAATTCTTACAAAATAAGATAGGGATTAAACTAGGAAAGATGATAAAAGACAAATACGATCCAGAATTGTGGGTATACTTTGAAATCATGATGCAGTGTAGGATATCACTGGATTGTGAATGCATTTGTCTTTTCAGCAAGCACCAGAGAACAGTTAAAAAATGAAAAGAGAGCGATACTGTGCAGTAATAATGTAAGAGGGCTACTTTGGTATAATGCTTTGGATTTATAATCCTTAACCTCAAATTTAATCAAATGTCTGCTTCTCCTTTTTGTGTGATAATGAGGTGTTAAACTCTGCCTCACATGAACCAAAGTTCAAACTTGGTAGGATATCTGTTGCTCTGAATATATTACGTTTCCCATTTGGCTCAGGGAGAAAAGAAAAATGTACACCTTTTTTCTATTTATGAAGGTATATGCATCACAGGATAATTCATTTAAATTAAATTCTTTCAAAGCAAAGGTTTAACTGTTGGATGTTTCATGTTCTGATTAATTTATTTCCCATGAGTCACAACTTTGCCTTTACGTTAATACTTTAAATAATATGACAATTGACAATATAAAATTGCAATTAATTAATTAAGGATGAGACCTGAAATCATATCAACTGAGCGAACAAAGCAATGATTTCTTTGAATTTATTTCCACTATTTCATTATGAAACAGTTGATTAAAGCTTGATGTCTACAAATACAAGCAAATAAAACTACATCCTCTAAGACTCTAATAATGTAAATGTGACAAAAGATTTGATGGCATCTTCTCCCTTCTAGTTTCAGTATTCAATCTAATCAAGAGATAAAATAAAATATCAATTTTTCTGACAAAAGTGCCAATGTAAACTCAGTTCTTGAGCACATTTACATGAAATATTTTCCAGATTTCATCATTGTAAAGTGAGCAATAGTGTGCTTTTGTAATATTGGAACAGCATTATTGGAGAAGCTGATTGAGAACTGAAGAGCTGAAGTTATTCAAGCCTGGGTATGCTGTGTATACCTCATATGTAGGTTTTACATGAGATGAAAATGGTGTAAGGAACAGTGTCAGTATGTTATTTTCAAAAACCTGTTAAACTTGAAGCGACCTATCACTTCATTAAGGGTATCGAATAGTCTTATTTTCTTCTAAAACAAATGCTTACATTCGCGAACAAACCTTAAAGTTATGATCACAGTAATAACGATAAATTAACATATTAATTTATTATCCAAGCTGTCCAACAACCACTTAGTTTCGGGAGACTTCAGGGGTGAAACCAGAGGTTCTCCATAGGGTTTAACTAGATGGACTTCAGCTTACATTTCAGATACATACATCTTTTTATTTGTGTTCTTTAAAGTTTAAAGCAACAGTCATGTGTTGTATCTAAATGTAAGAAATTGTTGATCTGTTATTTTTTTAAAATCCTATTATTTCATTAATTTAAGGAAACCAAGAATAGTCCATAATATTGTTAAATGGTGATGCTGTTCACTGAAATTAAAGCCAGTATTTGTCCAGTAGCTTTAACACACAGGAACATCAGCCTTTTCTGACATGTGTCACCCATCACAATACAACAATACATCTACAGATCACTGGGGAGTTTTGGAAAACCTTGACCTAATGTGCATCCAGTATTTACTAGAGAATAAATGAGTCACTTTCGTAGACATGGTCTGGAAATTATTTAAACCAAGAAATGCATTAGTCTAGAGTAGACCTTTCCTAACCAACCGGAAAACAAAACGTTTCATTAATAAAGCAAGACTGAAATTAATTTAGATTAATAAAATAAAAATAGACTTTAGGCCGGAGGTGACAAATTGATTTAAATCTTACCTCTTTGATTGAGGTGTCAGGCACCAGTGTTCCACTGGAGTCTCCTATCAGATCCTGTGTAACAGAAAAATACAATGACTGTTCTTCATTTCTTTGCAGTTAGAGAACTGAAATGTCATATACTGATAAAAACTGAACACAGCTCTGAATTACCTTGCTTTTTTGATAGGGATGCAATTTGCTGCTATGAAGAAGACATCAGTTATCAAACTCATTTCACAGCCCCCCAGACACCAGTCTACAGTTTATTGTCTTGTATCTTCAGATGAAAACAGCTGGCAAATCAGATAAATTGGCATCCTGCTGTGATTTATTCATTTTGGAAATACATGTCCTGTTCAAAAACGCAACATTGTTTTGGTGAAATGGAACATCTTTCTGGGGAAGTACACAGAAAACACACATATATATATATTCTAAAGAACAATTTGATTTTGTGACTTTTTGTGCTGCCAAAGAACATGTACTGTATCTTCATAGAATTTAAGCGTTCCCCCATCTATTTAGAATAGAACAAAAATAAAATTGCTCTAATTAAAATTAAATAAATTTTCCAAAATAAAAATGAACTGTTAGCCTGAATGTATTTGAATCATGGTATAAAGTGAATTTTAAAAATGAGGAATTTCATTCCTTTTTTATGCACGTTTAATTTAAGAAGGCATCTTCGTTCTGTATTACTTAGTTCTTCTTTATTTCATTCATGCTGACCAACAAAAAAGAAAGGAAAACTTAAATGACACACTATCCTAATGCTTAATTAGCAGTCTTTATGATTTGGAATCACAATTAGTGCTATGATTATTATGTTCTGTTTGAGGAATCCTGTTCATGTGTTCATAGGTTAAGACATACAGTATATTGCATTAAAGACAATAATCACATCATTAATGATATTAAAATAATTTAAATTAAAAATATTATGACATATTG